TGCATACGTAAATACGATCACGACGCTTAATTAACATAAACTATTGTTTGTGGTTCTTTGATTATGCGATATAGCCTTGCTATGTTTTAGACAAAAATCTCCCACACCATTCGTTAATATAATTTATAAGTCGTCTCTCTTTTTTAATGTAAGGAGAGGCTCGTGTGAAAAGGGAATATAAGGGAATGGAAAAAAGTTTGTTTATATTTATAATAATTTTCTTAAAATTTGTATCAAGTATTTTTTTTTATTAATTGACATTCTAAAAAAAATTAAACTGACAGTGTATATTATTTAAACTCTTAAATTATTAACACTTTTATTTTTTTAAAAATATGAAAAATATTTCATCTATGTTGTTTTGTTATTTTTTTTATTTTATTTTATTTTTTACATGGCTGCTTGCTAAAATTTATTAAATTCTCACTGCAGTAAAAAAAAATGGTTTAATATGTGAAGACGAGGTAGCTTTGGTTATGCATTGAGAGATGCAGATAACTTTACTCCAATATATTGACACTATTAGTAAGGGATCTTTTACATCGATTGCATGCAACCGATGTAATATGATGTTGTTTAATCTATTTTTTGTTTTACTAGTGTGAATTTCATTTAGGATTTTGATATAAAATATAAAAAAAAAATGTGAGATTTTAAAAAAAAATCTAATAATGACCAAAATCATACCAAGGAACCAACTTTTTAAAATTTATGTTGTTAAATAAGAAAACAAATGATTTTATTAATTCTATCTGGTCGGTCACCTCACACAATAACTTTTTTATAACATTCTTTTTATTAAAATTAAGTTTGTAACCAAAGAATGCACATGATCTATAATATGTACTATAACCCAAATCTTAAGATTGATAATGAGTTTTTTTTTTTTTAAATCAAAATTTGTTAGTATAAGGTTGGAAACAAGTTGTGAAACTTAATTTGAGTTGAATTTTATATGATCCTTTTTCTTTTAACTCAAGTTTGATTTGGTTCAAGTCTATGAACTATCTGATTCAACTCGCATATATCAATCCTATTCTTCTCTTTCTCTTCACAAACATGACAAATACATGGTTATATTTATGTTTGATTGTAGAATTAAAATTAAATGATCGTTCATTTTACTCCAGATGATGTGTGTTGTGTATTGAACTTCTCAAATTAAATTATTTAATTTATAAATCAAGCCCATCAAGTTAATTATTATAAATTAAGTTTAGTTGATTCAGACCATATTACAATCATATTTATTTATAAACACGGTTGTTTTGAAGCACAAGTCTTTTTATAAAGCCTATGGCCAGGACTCCACTTCTATGGGGATCCCAACAAAATAAATCATTTAAAAATTAAATTTTTTAAAAAAGTATTGTACATATAAAAATTAAAATATATTACCTAAAAATATTAAATTTTATAAATAAAAGTATTTTTTAAATTACATAGAAAACTCAAAAATATTTTAATTAATTTTGTTTGTGTAATATCAGTAAAATATTTAAAATTAATATTAACAAAATACTATTTACATTTAAATATGCTTTAAGAAAGGTTAAATAATTTAACTAATTTATTAATTAGAAGAAATTTTTTTTAAAAATTGATTATATAAATGTAACGCTCGATCTTTTGTCATAAAAGGTGAAAAAATTAAACTTAAATAATTTTTAGAATATATATTTTTACATTATTAAACAACTTAAATGTAATTTTAATTAAGACTTTAAATATGCTTGAAGCAGTTAATGAAGACAAGTCAATAACTTTATTACATTTCTAACAAGTCATAACTTATTTGACACTTCATCGATATATATATACCCATCAAGATGTTCTAATCATTCGAACCTTCCACCCATGTCCTTTTTCTCTAGCAGATGCTACCATTTCCTGAAAGCTAATCAATGATAAATGAATCCAAATCTCTTAACTGTATGAGAATTACATTACTATTAAATTATATCTGGAAAGCGTGTCCATGAGAATTATTTTTTCGTTACTTTTAATTACTATTATGCCTTTTCTTCGCGTGCATTTGATACGTAATATAC